CGGATATTTTTGAAGAGTCTAAGCATTATAGCGCAAAACACTGATATTTGTCAATACCTAGCGTTCTATAAACCGCCATGGAGCATGAAATAGTTCACTGTCAACGAGTCTTATGTCCAAATATTGATTGTGTGCAAACTAGTTTCTACTAGCATCTCCAATTTTTCAATGTATTGCTAGAAAATGTCACACGTGCAAGATGAACAATGATTTAAACAATTACCCTCCAATGCTAATGTGGCCAGCGAAAAAACTGTCAATTGTTTAGAAGTCCATCTAGATTAGAAGATCAAACATACTTATCGAACAAAATTTATATTTTGCACGCAGCAATTTGGAGCTCAGCTTTCTATTCATTAGACATCATTTTCATGTGAGCAAGTCTTTCAACTGGCATGTCATCTAGTAACAATTCATAGAATGCACTAGACGTACTCTAACCCTATCTATGTATTGTAGAAAAATAAAAAAAAGTGGTATTCATTACTCATACTAAGTCCTTGCTTGGCCCTCATTAAAATTATAATTTATTTTTTCCCACTCTTCTTATCAACAATACATTTTCCAATAAATATATATTATATGTAATTTCAAAATTTTTTCTTCTTTTTTACCTTCACATTTTTCAAAAAAAAATATCTAAATCAACATGGACGTCGGAAGAGATGAAGAGAAAATTGTTTGTGTTGTTGTCGTCGGTGTATGTAAATGTCATTTCTTGAAGAAACATCAACTATAGTAAACCAAGGAAATTCATGGCCATCTTCGGTTAACACCTACTTTCTTTTAACGATGTGTTCATAATTATCTGAAAATTTATAACATAAAGTGAATGCAAATATTTAGTGAATTAAAAATGGTACCATTTCAATTCCTTTGTGTCCTTACAAAATTCATCAACTAATTAAACCAATATATTAACTAGGGATAAATTATAAATTAAGGTTATTCGTTTTAATCAATGACTTCTTACAATTTCTCTTCACTTGGTATAGTTTATAAAATGATGAAAGACTACTCATTTTAGATCAATGCGTGTAGTATTGTCACAAATAAAGTTAATTTCGAATAAACGTGGCAAGTACAAAGCCGTTATATTATTTCTATTGATGACCTCTCACAAATCTTTTGGCTTAATATATTATAAAAAGCAATAAAATTATTTATATAATTGACTAAATTGACATACCCATTTTTAAATCAATTAATGTACGGCCTTTACAAGAGCTTATATAATCGATTGCAAATAACACGAGAAGTATTAAAGCCACGATTTATTTATTTTTTCAGTTGTACAAATTTAACTGTCATAAGAAATGTCATCATCCTGGGATGTTACTTTTTCAATTCGGAACTCTTAGTCAAGTTGATGGTTGCAAAAACATGAAGAGAAGCAATATTCCATTAAGGACATCAATGAAAGAAATAAATTCAACTTGTTCCGTGCCTTGTTAAAACTGAAAAGCCCAAAATTTGGAAAAAGTCCAAGTGCCTAAACTCAAGCAATGCTACTATAGGTACAGAAAACACTTCACAGAAATTGTACAGGAATTCAAAACAAATGACTTGGGTGAGGGAAAAAGAAGAAGAAGAATAAACAGTAAATTAAAAGAATCGCTAGGTCAGCAATTTTTTAAATCATGTGGATTATCTGTGAAAACTTCCTGTACCTAGGGCATAATTCAAACTCAAGCGATCCATTATACTTTGTTCATAAAGAGAGATATTGTCAACATACAAAATACACTGAGAGAGTCTTAGGTATTATAAAAACACAATTAAAGAGTAGATGAATAGGAAGGAAGAATCAATGACATAATGATTAATAGTTAATTATCAAGAAGTACTTTAGCATTCATATGGTTCAACCATCAATTCTTTTGACTTTGACTTAGCCTTTGTGATTACAATTACCTACGATGTCAACAAGCAATTACGTCGAGAAAATTCCATTCTCTTTGAAGGTTTCAACAAAAGATTGAGCCAACATTCTATCTAGGCTCTGATCCCTATTATTATGATTTTTGAGCAATAATAAGCCAAAAATCATCAAAAAACAAGCAATGTAAAGCATAGATTTACTGTTATTCACTCTTAACTTGAATTATATATGTGTATTCATTATTGCAAGTTTTCTTGGCTATCAGAGAAGAATACAAGTTTTCATCATATCTCTGTTGCATATAAAGAGCATGTTATATTAACTAGAAAAATATAAGCTTTAAGAGTTTTCTGTTAATGACTTTTCACAAATCCATTTGGCTTAGTATAGTTTACAAAGCAATAATGGTGTTGACCACAAAAATGTTGCCAATAGATACCGGATCCACTCATGCACACGTGAACCTAGTCCAACACGTTAAGACATATGGACGGTCTCAAATGAACTGATCAAGGGCGTGAGAGATGTTTGCATAATGATTGTACAATAATTACCAATCGATATTTTTAGAATGCGTGTAGGAATTCGTGTATATTGCAAGAGAGTAAAATGTAAAGAATGTTGTATTTGTTCTTGTGTTGAATCTTGCATTATCTTGTGAGAGATTCATGGGGGAAGCATTTATAGTATTACAATTTAGATCGTGGCTTTCGGTTGGGAGTACACGCGACCTCATCTCGTAAGTTTACATGTCAAATTATAGATATCACACTTGACTTCCTAACCTGCTGCACATTTATTAATTGGCGGTTCTGCTGCTACACTGACAAAATAAGACACTTGCACTCTATAATGGGTGTCCCATCAATCAATTAGGATGGATCCTTGCGTAAGACCGGATCTTTGGAGAGGAGTGCTGCTTAAGGCTTCAAGACCTCTTCAAGGTGGGATGCCATGTCATGGGTATTGTTTAAGTACGTTGGTCTACTTCTGCTGGCTTGGGGGCTTCGGCTGAGATGCCATGTGATTCGGCATAAGTGGGCCAAGGGTCTCAGGGGATCGGCCAAGTGTGTCGACACGTAATAAATAGTATTTATATAATCAACTTAATTGATATACCCATTTTAAAATCAATGAATGTAACAATGCCATGATTTATTTATTTTTCCAAATATATAACCGCCACGAAAAATGTCGTCGTCCTGGGATGTTACTTTTGCGACATTTTTCGGTTCGGAACTCGTAGTCAAGTTGATGGTTGCAAAAACATCAAGAAGCAATATTCTATTAAGGACATTAATATTGAAAGTAATAAAGCTATTCATTTATTTTTCCATCTTTTATTGGGTTTCTAAAAGAAGTCCATCCGTTTTGACATATTCCATCGAGGACATCTATGAAAGGATAAATTCAACTTGTTCCACGCCTTGTTGAAACTGAAAAGGCCAAAGTTTGGAAAAAAAATAAAGATGCCAAAACTCAAGCAATCGATTACGTGTACTTCGTTCATGGAGAGAATTTTGTTTAATATCATACAAAAATGCACAGAGACAATCTTAGTTTTATGATAAAATTAAAGAGTGGAAAAATACGAAGAAGGAATCAATGGCATGATGATTAATAGTTAATTATCAAGAAGTTTAGCATTAATATGGTACAACTATCAATTCTTTTGACTTTGACTTAGCCTTTGTGATTACAATTACCTGCAATGTCAACAAGCAATTACGTTGAGAAAATTCCATTCTCTTTGAAGGTTTCAACAAAAGAATAAGCCAACATTCTTCTGAGCAAAAAGAACAAATGACGTTCAACCTAAAATATACATAATAATAAACTCATCTTTCTTTAACATATTAGGCCTTTGAACGAGTTAGTTTAATATCATCTCTTAAATAAAAGTTTTAGTGTTATCCATTTTGTTATTGATTACTGCGTTCTGATCCCTATTATTATGAGCAATAATAAGCCAAAAAGTCATCAAAAAACAAGCAATGTAAAGCATAGATTTATTGTGATTCATTCTTAACTTAGAATTATATACGTGTACTCATTACTGCAAGTTTTCGCCATATCAGAGAAGAATACAAGTTTTCATCATATCTCTGTTGCATATAAGAGCATGTTTGGGTGTGCTTAAAAGCACCTTATATTGTAAAACCAAACATGCTATAAAATGACTCCCTAATAAATCATTTATATAGTAGAATATGAGGTAAATCCACAGTGAAAAACATACATTTAAGGCATGATTAGGCTTGTAGTACAACATATTTTTATGATGCATTAAGCCTTTGATAACAAAAAATGAGAGGTGGCAAAAGGGCCTTGCTTACTTGGCTAGTTGAAGAAACGAGCCCGAGCTGAGCGGGGTGCTCGTTCGGCTAGCCAAGCAAGGCTCGGCTTGTCAAGCTCACTAGCTTGTAAAAAATGTGGACAAAAAGTAAAAAAATAAAAAAACTGGAGCTCGTGGGCTCGGCTCGACTTAGCTCGTGAGCTCATGAGCTCGTGGGACGAGCTTGAGCTTGGCTTGTCCAAGTTAGACGAGCTCGTGGGTACATGTGCCTCAGCCCATTGCCATCTCTATGTGATGAGATATGTAGTTGAGAAAATATATAATAAGTAAAATTCTGTGGCACTAACATCTTCAATTTTTTCAGGAACCATTTATCAAATATAAAAAATTTATTTATTTTTGGGACATTGATTTCAAATATTATGTAACTAAAGGGATGATCCATCACTTTAGGATCAAAATTTCGTATCTATTTTTCTTATTTTATATAGGAACCATTCTTACAACATGATTTCCATCCATCAGTACTGTGAAAAATCCTCGGACGTCTACTTGATAAATATGCATTAAATCCCCATTTGTGTTGAATGCACAAATAAGAGATTGCAGTTGAAGTTGTATAATCATGGAAGCAACTGCGGACGAATATTCATACCAGATTTCATGTGTTTATGACCAAGTTGATTCCTTCAGAATGTTGGTTTCTCATTATTTTAGTAGCTTATGACAACACACGAAACAGACATTAATCATAAGATAACATAAGGGATATCACTTATATAAGCAGGTTACAAATTCAAACAAATGCCACAGAATTCAAAATAAAATTTATAGAGAAACAAAGAAAGAAGTTTTGTGTGATTACCAAACATGGGAGTCTTGTCCTTCCTCACAGCCATTTGCATACTAAATTTTCATTCATTGGCAACACTTGCAAATGATAATCCTGAAAAAAACAGTTTCGAAACTTATATCGTTCATGTTGAAGCATCCGATGGCCAAATTTTTACTCAATCTGAAGATCTAGACAGTTGGTATCATTCATTTTTGCCAACAACCACGTCTAGCTCAGGTGAGGCACCAGAGATTATTTATTCGTACCACTCTGTGTTCAAAGGTTTTGCTGTTAGATTATCACCAGACAACGTGAAAGCCCTGGAAAAGAAGGAAGGTTTCATTTCAGCGCGTCCTGAAGAAAAATATTCTTTGCACACGACCCACAGTCCCAATTTCTTGGGGTTAAACCAAAATATGGGATTTTGGAAAGACTCCAATTATGGTAAAGGTGTGATCATTGGTGTAATAGACTCTGGAATCTTCCCCGACCACCCTTCGTTTAGTGATGAAGGGATGCCACCTCCACCTGCAAAATGGAAGGGAAAGTGTGATTTCAATTTTACTGCTTGTAATAACAAACTCATTGGAGCTAGGACTTTCATCAGAGGAGACACAACGCCACTAGATGATGATGGCCATGGCACACACACCGCAAGTACCGCTGCTGGAAACTTTGTGAATGGTGCCAATGTGTTGGGCAATGCTAATGGGACTGCAGCAGGTATTGCTCCACTTGCTCATTTGGCCATTTACAAAGTTTGCTCTTTTTTCTGTTCCGAAAGTGCTGTACTTGCTGCAATGGACGCTGCTGTTGAAGATGGCGTTGATGTCCTTTCCCTTTCTCTTGGTAGATTGTCCATCAATTTCTATGGAGATACCATTGCACTAGGCGCATTTAGTGCAATGGAAAGAGGGATCCTGGTTAGTTGTTCGGCAGGAAATAGTGGTCCATCTAACTTTTCTTTATCAAATGAGGCTCCATGGATTCTCACAGTTGGTGCCAGTACCATTGACAGGAAAATAAGGGCAACGGCCCTTCTTGGAAACAACGAAGAGTTCCATGGCGAGTCAGCTTTTCAGCCAAATGATTTCCCTTCAAAACTCCTACCTCTGGTTTATCCTGCAATGCTTAATGCCAGTGATTCTGGTTTACGAATATGTAGTGCAAGCTCTTTGAACAAAACCGACATCAGAGGAAAAATAGTGTTATGTGAGTTAAGTGCAGGGATAAGCAGAATTTCCACAGGAATAGCAGTGAAGAATGCTGGGGGTGCCGCCATGATTCTTGTAAACTTTGATAGTTATGCAAACATGACTTTTTCAGAAGCTCATGTCCTTCCAGCAACGCACGTCAGTTATACCGATGGACTAAAAATCAAAATGTTCATAAATTCAACATCAGCTCCTAATGCAACAATTTTATTTAAAGGAACTATAATTGGTGATGATCGAGCCCCTGTGGTTGCTGCATTTTCTTCCCGAGGCCCAAACTGGGCAAGCCGTGGAATCCTAAAGCCCGACATTTTAGGTCCAGGAGTTAACATCCTTGCAGCCTGGCCTGTCTCCGTAGAAAACAACACGAATACAAAATCAACATTCAACATAATCTCAGGCACTTCAATGTCCTGTCCACACCTTAGTGGCGCTGCAGCATTGCTCAAAAGCGCTCACCCAGATTGGTCCCCTGCTGCCATTAAATCTGCAATTATGACTACTGCTGATGTTGTAAATCTAGCCCTAGATCCAATTGAGGACGAAAAATTCCTTCCTGCTAATATCTTTGCCACAGGAGCAGGCCACGTCAACCCTTCTAGAGCAAGTGATCCAGGACTGGTTTATGACATCCAACCCGTAGATTACATTCCATACCTGTGTGGACTGAATTACACAAACCGACAAGTTGGGGTCATCTTACAGCGCAAGGTGAATTGCTCGAATGAATCAAGCATACCAGAAGAACAGCTGAACTATCCTGCATTTGCTATTACTTTTACTCGTTTATCGTCTTCTCAAACTTATACAAGGACAATAACAAATGTTGGCGAGCCTATGTCCTCTTACAGTCTAGAGATTGTGCCACCACCTGGGATTGATGTACGTGTTGAGCCCAGCTTGCTCAACTTCTCAGAACTGAATCAGAAGACCACATATGAAGTGACATTCAGCCGATTGCCCTCTGCTCCAAACAGTACTGTTGTTCAAGGTTTCCTCAAATGGACTTCACAAAAGCATTCTGTAAGGAGTCCTATAGCAGTTTCATTGAGGTGAAACGCCAGAAAGAATCTCAAGCAAATTCAAATTTATACACCAAAATAACTTGCTATCATGATTTGTGATGTTAATAATCAAAACTATTACAGTTTTAGACACACTGTAATAAGTTGTTGTTGTGATTTATTTGTTTTTCCTTTTAATTTAATTTTATACATGCTTTTGTTGGAAGCGTGTTACCAAATTGATGTATTGTTGGCAATTTAATCAACTAGTAGAGAACCAAAATAATCTCATATCTCTCCATTATGCATAGTCAGAGTGGTGCTACCGAAACTTAAGAAAGCTTGAGAACCTAAAGGCAAGTTATAGACTGGAGAAAGAGGACTACCATTTGACTAACATTATGGGCTAGGGGCTTGAAAACTCGAAAGAAATAACCTAACCTCTAAGAAAGGATTATTACTTTTAATGAGAATACATATGATAAATATTTTTTGAACCTGCATATTACAAATTTCCCCTAATTGGTGCTTCACGTTTCTTAAAAAACACATCTTGCAGTCTTGTTTCAAAGCATTTAAAATATATAAGAAAAAGTAGATTTGTTCTCCATGATTCTCCAATGGAAATTCCTAGGTCATGGTGACAGCATCATTGATGATATTTTCATCGACAGCCATTGACAAAACCATCGATAACACCCATCTGTGATAGCATGGGATGTCACCATCAGGGGTGGAACTAGGAGAGTAGATTTGTGGAGGCAAATAGGGGCAAAATTAAAAATTATAAGTAGTTTTTTTTTTTTTTTGTTTTTTTTTTTGTTTTTTAATAATCTTGAAAAATCTATTCCAGAATTTTGGATTTCAAATTTAGTGTAGGTGTTTCGCGCGGGTAGTCGCTAACAATTAAAAAGAGATAAGACGATTGTGTAAGGAACAAATCTCTTGAGACAAAGTCCCAAAAATGAATGTTTTATTGACGATGATTTACAATTGAAAATAAACAAAATGCCTTCAAGGGGCGCAAGTACACGAGTACTAAAAGAAGTGTTTAAATTTAAACTAAGAAATTGAAATTACATATTTTCTGTTTTAGAGTGTTTTTTATTCTCCTCTTCCCTATGTCTTCTCTTCCTTTTTATATTCCCTTGATGATTTCCTCGTGACAAACCACTTGAAAACTGTTTGATCGTTTTATAACTACCCACTTTCTTTATGGTGGCTAACTTGTCGTGGAACTGCCGTCTCTAACTGCTGTCATTACTCTTTGTCGTTCAATCGCCTTCAATCGGGCTCCTTGAATCGTAGAATGTGATAAGATTACTCAATAACTGCTTCAATAATTACTATTCTAGATAACTATAATATTTTATGTTTGCTAAGATCCTGGGCGATTCGAAGGTTTGGGCGAGAACGGGGTCATCGCTCTGAGCGACTGTAAGACACTCCATTTGCTCAGATTCTGGGCGTCTTGCAAGCTTGAGCGATGATGTTACTGTGTTCGTGGGCTTCCACTGTATTCATCAATAATCCTGTTTGGACCTTTATCTTGGACTCCCCAATTGAGCTTCACTCTTTGGGCTATTTGATTTGAGCTGCATTTTTAGTGTGTCAACAATTACCCCCCAATATGGCAGGATTAATACTAATTATTAATCTTTGCCATATTCACTTTGTATTTTCCAGCAGCATTTGAAATTCTCAAGAATTTCAATCATTATTTCCTTCTATAGCCTGAAAAGGTGCAACATTACAAACCCTTATAAACTCAAAAGACACGCCATTTCATCGCACCACTAAACCACGTCTCTACATTTCGCGCTTCCTCCTCACTATTTTACTGTTCATCTTCTTGCTTCTCTGCTACGTTTCTCAGGCAAATCTTAACAAAATTGTACTTTGCACCCAATGGCGACTTCACAAACTCGATCTGATAATTCTTTTAATTTTGAAGATTTCTAGAAAATCCTTACTAGGCCGTATGTAAATCCAAACTTTCTTGCACTAGCCAGTACTGACCTCAATGAATTCTATCTGGGTCCATCGTTCAATAATGGCGAAGCCGTTGGACAAGTGGCGGTAGGCCTGCTGTTCCCTTGCACTCAAGACCCTCTGTTCCTGAACTCTCTGCCATTAAGGCCAATTCGCGAAAAATGTATTCGCACTTGGCCCAAAGCTGATGTTATTTTTCGTAGATGTCATGCACGTCTTGTGAATCATGGCCCTACCAAGGCGATTTTTGATCGTGTTAGGATTTCAGACTTATTAGAAATCGCTCTTCAACCCCCAATTTTTGATCCAGTGCTTTTTCCAATTGCTTTGAGTTTTTGGTCTTCTGAATATAATACCTTCGTTTTCCCTCTTGGTCCCATCTCTATTACTTTAAGGGACGTTGAAGCCTGAGTAAATCTTCCGCCTTTGGGCGATACCATCTTTCCTGGTATCTTGATTTCCAGTGTCAGCCGAAAATTTGACAAGAAACTTACTGAGTCCTATTCAAGCATGCAAGGCTTTTATAATCATTCAAGCGCTGAACCTTCCCATACTGAGCGTGTGGTCTTTCTTCAAATTTGGCTCTGTAAATATATTCTCTGCGTGCCAAGTATGAAACATTCTATGAGCTATTTACCCATAGCGCATGAATTGGCGCATGGTAGGCCTTTATCTCAACTGACGAATGGTGCATCTCCCACCGGCAGTGGACCCCTTTGGTTCACTCAACTGTGGTTGAGAGCATACTTTCCACCACTTGGTGCTTCATCCATTTCCCTTCGTTCTGCTAACTGCTATGGGCTAGCTATTGACCCATTGAAACCTGTAAATATGTCTAGTAGAGACATTTTTTCATTCTTTTATACCTTAAATTCAGTTCCTTCCTTCTTTCCTTTTCCTGCTCACTTGACTCCAGATTATGTGCAACCTCTATCCACCCTGGACAGTGCGAGCACCTCTCTACTTGTTTGGCTTCAGTTTTTGATTGGGAAGAAATTATTCCACGATATTTTAACTGAAACCAATGCCAAGGCTGGGGTTGAAATATATGCTTCCCAATTTTTTGCTCGCCAACTTGATTTTGGCCAAACTTGACCTGTTCCTCATTGCTACTCAAAAAATCTGACAGATCGTTTTCACACTATTAATAATGCAGAAGCACAGGTTGTAGATGCTCGCAACATTCTTTTGACGAGCAAATTTTCATTAACCCCTTTCAACTCTAGCTTTGCCGTCCATCCTCTTTTTGAACAGCTTTGGCCATCAGTAAAATGCAGATTGTTTGCAACTGATACTAATCGTGCCTTCCATTTATTGGATCAGCCAGACACTTCCTCTACTTCTCCTATTTTGGTCAATTCTGTGTCCATTAGGAATCCTTCCTCCTCTACTCGCGCTAAACATCCTATCCGTCCATCTGCTTTTCCACTTACCAAGGCTACTGCAGCTAAAGGTGCCTTAAGCCGCAAACGGCCAGCTTCGGCGTCTCCCATTTTGCGGGATGATAATGATGATGATGATGATGACGCTCTTCTCATCCTTAGGAGAAAGGTAATTGAATTTGTTTATTCACAAACATACTTTTCTATGTACTAATGGTTTACCTGAATTTCTCAGAAAAGTTCAGCCTCTTCTTCGAAGGCTTTGGTTTTAGCAACTCCTATTTCATCATCTTCTGCTGAAGCTGCTTCGTCCAAATCAGCTGATGAAGGGACTATGCTTAAAGAGAAACCTTTAGTCCCGAAATCTTCATGTCAACCAGTAGAAGGGCCATCTTCTTCCCAGGGTGCCGACCCCCTAAATGTCGAACCAGAAGGAAATACATATTTTGATATTTTACCTTTGCTTGGGCTGCTGGTTTCTCATTCATTGCTTCTTGAATTATGCAGAGGCTCCCATGGGCATGCCCGTTGTGGCAGAGTCTTCTCGCCCAGATAAGGGGAAGTCCCCACAGGTGGTGGAGCCAGCTGGTGACATGCCTGAACTTCCTAAGATTGCTGATAAGGTAACCTTTTACCTCACTTTCATTTTCGCTTCGTTTATTGTAGTGAAAGCCCTCAATGTTGACATTTTTCTTCGCAGGATGCTGATGAGATTGTGCGTTCGATCCAGGAGTTGTTCACTTCCTGGGGACAAGTCAAGACGTCTCGCTCTACTTCAACCAGTCATCCTTCTGCTTTTTAGGAGGAAAATATGAAGTCTCTCATGTAGTCGATACTTGAGTATGTGTCTTTTATAGACATGGATATTGGCCACGCTAGTGCTACTAAACATAAGGAAATCTTTCTGCTGACTTTAAAGCAACATTGAAGATTGTCCACTCTAACATCCTCTCCTTGCTAGCTAAAAATGTTGAACTGAAGGCCAAGATTACTCAATAACTTCATGCTGCATTCGAAAGAGAGTCTTTACTTCTAGAGATTAACAAAGCCGAGGATGAATTGAAAGAAATCTCTTCCGACGTTATGATCGAAGACTCTTTGATGGTAAGCTTGGCTGCAGAGATGAAGGAGCTTCAAGCAAAGATGAACGACTGTAGGGCGAGAATGGCTGCTAAAAAGCGTAATGCTTCCCAAGGAATTGAACGAACCAAGTCTTTGGTTAAGAAGTATAAAAAGCTGGAGGTTGATAACGATTTTGTAGCTGAACTAAATGTCGCTTCTTTTCAACAGAGCGAAGATTAGGGAAAGAATACGTTCGGCTTGGGGTGAATTGTAATTAAGACATCCAATGCCTTAACTTTCCTTTTGTAATTTCGCACTAATTGCTATTGCTAATTTTGAATATAACAGCAGCTATAGTCATTAATGAACGACTATATTGTCTACTTGCATATTAATTGACATTGTCCTTAATCGTCAACCCCCCAAAGCATTTAATTGCTTTATGCTAAGATTCATGTACATTCTTTCTTGGTATTCCCGTCTCTTTTCCCAAGACTTTGGGCCATTTGATTTCAGTTATTAGGCACGAATGTAGCCGTTCATATTCTGTCTTTTCGCCTTCATGCCTCTATAAATGCGCGTGTATTTCACACTTATTATTTTCATTTTCATTCTTTTCTTCAAAAACTAATTTGCTGACATCGTTTGGCATCTCAACAATTGATCCAAAATTTTCGTCTTACATAGAAATGGATCATTTGATTCGCCCATTTTGCTATCTGTTTTGATGTCACATTTGATATGGGAGATATAAGAAATATTCTTTGGCCAGCGAAGGTCTTCCCATCGTCTCCATGTTCTTTATAAGGAGTTCAATGATGGAAGATGATTTTTGAGGATG